ATGGAAGGAAATGTCTGAGGACCGCCTCCTTGAGACGATCGTAAACATTGGGCACATTGGAATTGAAGACAACCTCACGGACAGCTACTAAATGGTCTCCCGGTAAACATTCGAGAGCGTAAGTGTACTTCTGCCGTTGGCTTGTAATATGACGGGTCTCAAATTGAGACTCTATAGCAGCGAACCAAACTTCGGGATCGTGAGGAATAAAAGATACAGGTCGAAAGTGTATAACCTGTACGTCAGAGTCTATTACGTTAATACTATTCTTATCGTTATCCGTCATGTCAAATATATTATATATTAAAAATTAGTATGAAAATATATGACAGACGTGGATAGATAAGCGATAGACTCACTAAAATTGACTTCTTTGGAAGGTTTGGTTGCGATTGCCAAGTGGTCGTAGATGTAGGTTCACCAGTTGAAGAATTTGACCGAAGTTGAGGCGTGTTCCAAAATTTGGCCCACCAAATGTAGCGTGGTGTCGAGTTGAGCTTGACTATGAACACCGCTACAAGACTACGTGCCAATTAACCAATAAGATCCCCGTAGGCCAATATCAGAAGACAGATGATGGCTGTAGTCGAGATGTATTTGTTGGCGATCTCGTGGTATCGAAAGAATACCGAGATCGTGCCAAAGGAGTACAAGCGTGGTTACTGAGCGTAACCGAATTCGTACAAGTTCAAAGTCAACGGGAGAGTAAGTGTAATGGCTGTCATTAGCACAGTTAAACAAACGAGCACAGTAAAACAGTCACTGGTACAATTGGTTATAATAATAATTGTTTTCATTGAACCAATCGCGTTCTGTTGACAAAAGTAGGTCACTACAAGTTCAACTGTTGCCGCGTGGGCAAGTGCATGGTCTGCAATCGATTGATACGCACTGGTTCTCCTTGATCCCAACAAGTATCAGTAGACGGTTCGATAACCCGAGAGCTATATGTTTTAGCCAAGATCCAGTGACATTTATCTATCCCTGCAAGCCGTTATTTGTTCACCTCCAATAATTTGCCAGTCGTCCGTTTGAAGGATGTGCAGAACGTTTCCTGAACTTCCTTAGTTGGTAGGATGCTTCAGACTTCGACCTTTACAAAACAGTGAAAAATTAAACTACAATCTATTCCCATAAATTGTTCATTTTGTTCGTGATACTTTCCTCAAACTTTGCGTTGAAAATGAAATTTCGCAAGTATTTCGGGTGATACAATAGAGTATTTAAGCAATTGTATGTAATGTAATAAGTATGAGTCATAAACACTTGAAATGGTAACTTATGAGGTTCGAGCTTCAGTCCTTGAACGTATTACTTGACATACTTTTCAGTACACTCCAGATTATCCTCACAATTTCTGAGTGGAGGAGTTAGAACTAAGTCTCTATGCTCTAGATATGAACGAATAAAATTGTAAAAAACTAGGTAAAAAATTTCACTTTCAATTGAGTCTAAAGAGGGACCACTTCAAGGTTTGCTCTAAAGACACTTTTGTCGCCGGAAGTACTAAAGATAAATTTTGCTTACACTCAACCATTGATTATGTCCAATCAGATAGTCTCAGAGAGGAAAATAAACAGTCTACATACAATAATAGCAGTTGATTCTCAAATAACAGTTGGTTAAATGAGGAATGCCGATAAACAGGCAATAATAAATTTTTATTCACAAGTAAATCGTGATGAATAATGGGAAATTTGGTCCACTCTACAATTATTGTTTTTATAACTTTAAAATTTTTTTAGAGTATTTCATTCAGTCAGCTCGTACTTTTGGGAATTAAACATTTCGTTTTGGTTATTATTTGTTCTGAAAAAACAGAATTCATTGTGTTTACGTTGTTATGACCATTGTATCACTGCGGAAGTGTCCGAATATACTCCGCGTCATTATCTCCACAAGCCAATTAGATACTGCAAAATATGTTATACAATCAGCGTTGAGTAAAGGCCTGGGCGAAATACATAGAAAATGAGAAGTCACATGTCACGCTTTGATTGGATGCTTGCTTACAGCTTCACAATAGCTAGCACATTTCCAGAAATTTTTAGAGTAGAGGTCACTCATAAATCTTTAAATACCCTCAGTTTTCTGAATCATGCAATGCTTAACCCAGAAAAAAATCCCGAAATCACATTTCGCGTATGTTCTTCGCTATAACATTCGACTCACGAAAATATTTTCGGTTTGTTGGAAGGTACTAATAACAGACTTGTCAATTCCAATTATGATATACTCCGCCGACTATATTAATGATGTCAGCCTTAAAATTTTCGTTGAATGATGAATCTAAAAAAAAAACTTAGTTACCAGGCCGAACTAACAGCATTAACTAGAGATGCAACAAGAGTAATCGCACTGACCAATGTATCTGATTACTATTTAAAATCCGTTCCATTATACTACGATGTAGCATATGGGTAAGTGATGCTGCTCATCATTGACTGGTGTAAGAAAAATTTTTAGTAATTGTCTCTCTCCTCATTCTTTACTTTAACTGTCATGACAAACCGTGATCGAATAATGGCATTTGAACCAACGGAACTGAGTAGGCACGAAGTCCCAAGGTTATCAGAAGCAAGAATGTTGGACACACAGAATTCTTGGAAAAATTCCTTAATCAAAGAATATTGTCAATAGTTTATGATAGACAGGACTTCAATACACGTCCGATGTTGCATGTAACTATACAACTGCAATATATAAGAATATCAAACGAATCCATTTGCATCCTCACACAAGCCGCACAACTCATACGCGTTCGTAATCTTACCTCGGACATATTTCTTCCGCAGACGAAATGAATAACACAGGACACTTCCCCAGCTATAACGTCTTAAAGTCCCATTATAGTGTGTGCTGCTTATGTAGACATAAGTAGTATATGATGTTCGTCATGAACAGAATGTCTGGCAGCAGAGAAACAAGAAGACCAAACAGTAAAGAATGAAAACAGAATGCAATTCGTATGAAAACGCAAGAACAATGAAGTCTGAGTCATTTGAGACAATTGATGGACATTTTGCAAATTGAGCATTTAATATATGGTTGTTAGATTTTACTAACTAGTTCTGTAACTTGTTGTCAAATACATTCGATTGTCACCACCTGTGTTTTTGTTCACTACACCATTAGTTCTTCTCGTAGATGGGAGGCCTAGAAATATGGAGTTGTGCTTCCCTTTTTCCATTGTGAAGGTTATTGCCTGGTTGACTTTATTAAATGTTTATAGAAGGCTCTGAGCTTCACCATCGTTTTTTTTTGTAAATACAACTGTACCGTACATGAAGCGACAATATAATCCTAGTGTACCTACAACTCATTTTAGAGGACTGTATTCCAATTTTCCCAGAAGGAAGCCAACTGGGACTGGACCCAATGGCGATTTCATCTATCTACATGTTTTATACACAAAATAACTAACAATATAATGACCTCACAGGAGCTCGATTTCATGTATCCCAGGCCACTTGATTAAACGTTTACTTTATTTATTTATTTATTTTAACACATAAGTATAGGTACAGTGAGACACCAAGTACATATACGCCACACGAATCTCAATTGATTTGTGTGAGGGCTGTGATACTGCTCGGGTGCCCAAACCGAAGCAGGTGGTTTTCTTAGGGGACCACACCCCGAGCCTTTGACCTGAACGTCTGATCCACAAGGCAGTGGAGCATCGTGAGGAGATGCAGTCCCATGATAGCCGGTGACCAACGATTGGTTCATACTCCATTTGTTCCCGCAGGATACTGGAGCCCATGTGCACCATTGATTTGGGATCCGGTTAAATCGCCGGACATTAGCTTTTCGTCCTCTCATTTTTGTTAAAAACACCCCCGCCACGAGAAGGCAGTGAGATGGACTTCCCTGGCAGAGGCTATATACGCGTGGCCATGTGAGAGCATTTCGAGAGGGAGAGCGGACTCTCCGCCGTACCAGGGCATTTAAGGGCTGATTAAACGTTTAGATGGTTTCCTTTCTTTGCGCGGTGACTGGTTGGAAACTTTCGAGGAACTTCCTATGCCGATTTGGTTAGTTTGAAATACGTTTCTGAACAATATCTAATTCCATTTCATACCAATGACAGTTGTTGAGGCAAGTGTGCAAACCTTCTAGTAATACAATGTAACAAGTTTAAGTTATATTCATATTTTGCCACTTAAATGTCTAGTTATCAAGTGGTTGTTCTATAGAATCACTTATCAATGCGTTAAACTTCTCATTTTGAGCATTTGTGACTCTTATTTACCCGGAAAATATGAATGCGAAATATACTCTATAGCCAAAAGCATTTCCTGCTAACCGTTCAACCTACCCCAAGCAGTATTTTCCGGAAACCTTACTGCTCAAATAGCTCATGCAAGCTATATTAAAACTCTTTCAAGAGTAAATTACAATTTGGAATTTTAAACAACTTATTATTCACTGACTGAAAGCTAACTAGAATTCCAACTAAACTGATAATAGAATTAAATAAACTTTAATTACACGTAACTCAGGAGGAAGCAATAAGACACAACGAATTATACGTATTCTGCCACTTAACGTCATTCAAAGTTGTTAGAGAGGATCATCAACTTTAAATAGGATAAAATTTACTTTGAAGAGGATAAATTGGAAATAAGTGAGAAAAAACAGTCTATCATAAGAAAAAATTTAATTAAAATAAATATAAATGCCTTTAACACAGTTAAAGTTATTACCAACCTGGGTAATATTATGAAAGTACAAACAAAAGAGGAAAACAAATATAGGTATATTATAGCGAATGTAAAGTACTATGGCAGTCAGAAGATTGAAGTAAACAGGTCAAGGTAAATAAATGATAAATTTCCGTTTGATAATAAAGTCAACATTGCACAAAACTTCAAAAAACACAGTGATTTCAGTCAAAGAATTCCTCCTTAGGATTAAAATATACAGTCGAATAGAAAGACGCATTAATGATTAAAGGAATGTATGCTAAGTTTATATGCATATATATATATATATATATATATATATATATATATATATATATATATATATATATATATATATATATATATATATATAACAGAAAGTAACAAAGAATCTAATCATGTCATTTTAAAGGTTCAGCTTGACATCTTGTGAAGATAAATAGTGGAAGAAATCAGAAATTAAAATGAAATAAGTGTATTACTCTGATGAAAGAAAGAGAAATTCTGTATAATTACTGTTTAGAATCTGATTTACCTCGGCCAGATTTTGTCTTACGTCTCCATAAAGTAGCGAATGGTCGAACAAAAGAATAATTTCGCGGTAAACTTGTCCTGAATGTATCAGTAGTTTCAGTGTTTAATTGAAATGATTCTTTCAAGTTGAAAACTACACAAATATAAGATTCACAAAAAGTAAATATTAGTTGTCAATGTTAATTTGTAAATAGACTAAACCCAACATAATAAAGTATTATGCGTATAATCTTTAATAAACTAAACAATCATTATTTAGACAATCAATTAATCAACAGCCACGTACAGATATCCTCCTATCTGTCCCAAATGAACTATAACCGATATATTCAGATAAAAATCTGATTCAAAGACTTACTTTCTTTATTATGAGTACAATCGAAATCATTCACCAAGCAATTACCAGTACATTTAGAAAAACGATTAGATTCTAGAGAAGTTTCTTCAACCATAGATGACAAACGATCAGAATCACTAGACTTCATACTACCATTACAATATCTATACTTATCCATTGAGCAATGAATTGAGTTTGTAGTTTCACAAATAGTATTTTTCGCATATTGATTATGGATATCTGTACGTATAAAGTGACCAGTTAAAGCTTCAATACGACTCCAACGGTTTATACGTTCTTGAACTTCACTTTCAAGTTGATCCAAAGCTTGTCTAGAAAAGAAGGTAATAATCAACTACAGTACACTAGGCTGTACATTAAATAATAAATTACTGTAAAAAAAGATAATGACAAAGCTTAGATGATATACACTCCGTAAAATTCTTTTTCATTTTCCACAACATTTATTATCGGATTATCGGTTATACGTATATAATATTCATGAACTGCGTTAAACAAAATCGTTGTAAAACTACTGTCTTTATTGTTATCTAACATGGGAAGAAATATATTAGACGACACACTTCAACAATTTCCTGGAAAATATACGAAATCATAAAAACCTTGTGATTATTATATTAGGTATGAAAAATTAAAAAACTCCGCCTGTAGCTCTTTTACGGTTACTGCCAGTCTCAAGCCCAGGTAAAGAAGGAGGATTCGGCATGGAGTCAGCAACCCCATCCGTCGAAAACAGATTTGCTAAGAAAACGCCAACCAGAACAAACAAATTAAACCACTTAAACTCCTCCCTGACACTTGAAGGGTTTTCTTTTAGAAGAATTATGAAGCCTTGTGGTGAAAGCCGATTCTTCGGAAGACACGAAACCGATGTCCCTTCTAACAATCAGAGCAACAATTAATATAGCTACATAGAATGTTTGGATAATGTGAGAGGATCAACCAAATAGCTACGGAAATGAAGAGATGCAACCAGAAGAACACGACAATTTTTAAAATTTATTAATAATAAAGAGTATGCAGTATGATTCTCAATAATATCCCAGAGAGTTCTCATAGCTCATGAAGTACGCGAAAGTAACTAATTCAAAAAACTTCGTATAGGAAATTCTACAAGCTAACACGCTTTTCAAGCCCATAGTACCTGGTTACACTGCAATAACTCTGTGGGAACACCAATGGTCCCAAAGCAGATAGAAACAAAACCATCTGTCAGTAATAGAAATAAAAGGTTTCCGAGAGGAATGAGATGAGATGCCACATAAAATGATAATTACTAGAAAGTGCGACAGTTAAATTCATTACAGAAAATTCCTCAGTCGCTTATCTACGAGAAGTGGTAAATCCATGAAAAGAAATTAATAAAACAAGAACAAACTATTAAGCACCAGTTACAAAAACACAACTTATAAACTTCCAATATTTTACTATTGATCTTATTTCGCAAACATATACAATTAGTCACTCTAAGAATCTACGAATTCCCGTATACTTGTTAGAGAAAGAGTATTAAAAGTACGGATTTACGAACAACCATTTGATACACTACGGATGCACCGAAAACTCAAAGTTCGAGAAATTCTGTTATTCACACATGTGATTCCACACTGCTGAATAGATTCAAAATACTGAACACATTTCTAGCCCTAGTACAATAATTACCAGGTAAATACACATAAATCCTTTTTGTTATATTGAATTGACCACAACACATCAAGTTAATCATGGTGTGTGCATGTGACACAATAAGGTCATTAAACCAGTACTGACCTAATAAATTTACCACAATCAGACCACAAACTATTTTAATTCAGGTTTATTTTTGTAAGTTATCCATCTTAAATTAGTTGACCCATTTCTTTAAAAGGACTTATGTACATTACGTGATTTTTCACTGGTCATTCTTTTCTATGCTTTTGAGAGGAAATTTTAATATTATTTTGATTAGCAATCGTCTTGATAGTGTTCAAATCCAATAGAAAGATTATATGATCATTCTTTTGCATACAACCAAACCCACTAGTAAAGCATTGAGAGATGCTGCTAACCTGATATGATTATTTTATAATTCAAAGGACCATAGTGAAAACTGAAGATCTATGTGTGTATTACTTTAAACTGAATCTTGAACATTTTGATTAACAGTTCATTTTGCATTTACCCCGATCAAGACCAGAGTCAACAGATATTTCTACTTTTCAAATTCGGATTTATTCAAAGTTTAATAGCGTCTAAACAATTATTACTACAAATCTATAAAGAAACAAAACTTTATGCTTAGACAGAAAACAACTACATATCATATTATATATATATATATATATATATATATATATATATATATATATAATATTGTGTATCATAATAAACGATAACTTACTTCGCACTAATCAAACGATTTTCCAATTCATCCAAATTTATCGCATTTACTAATCGAACTGAACCAAAAATACCATAACGTTTACGCATAAAGCGTTTACACTAGGAGCAACAAATACATAGGCCAAAGGTTAAAAATTGTTTTCTGTTGAAAATTAAATACAGTTAACCCAACCACAACTGAATGGAAACACAGAATTGTTTGAGAACTTCAGTAACAGCTACGCCACATCATACGTAGTAATACATGATGCAACTTTTAGAAAAACCTATATACAATATACTTATAAATTACATTATGGCTATAAATAAATGACACTTGAATAAAGAACAATAATTTAATAACCAAATGAAAATATCACGTTTCTTTTGAACTGAACAACTATTGTAAAAATAATATACGTATAACTAGTTCTATGACAGAAATACCAGCAAGTTTATCTAACTAATTTTTCTCTGATCGATATTCGTATTAAATACATCATCTAAAATACTTGTTCTCAAGTTAGAAATTTTCAAATTTATCAAAATTGAGTCTTATCACTGAAATTTCCATATATTTTTTTCAAATGCGAAACACAATGACAATAAAAGTTTTATCTAGTACTCACAATAATCTTAAACAGTCAGAAAGCCATATATGGTAAACAATTATGTATTATTTTAGTATGCAAACACAGATAGAGTGTCACACTAAATGATATGGTAAACAATTCATTATAAAATACATATCTGTAAATTTTATACTCTCAACGCAACATTTCATAACTTTCATTTATGTAAGCAAGCAGCACATCAGTCAACTGTATTGATCATTATAACTTAAATGTGTTATTCTATCAAAAAGACTACAATTTTCTTATTCTTAATTGATGAGCTAAATGTTAACTGATAGCGTTGGGTCATACGGTGGAAACTTTGTCAATCGCCTAGCCAAATATGACAGAGAGAAGTATATTTTAGACAGGTTGTCGATTAAACACTACTGCTACCACGACATGTTACTAAACAGAAGTGAGATAGCTATGTAAACTGAGTTTATATTTTATTCTTATCGCTAATAGTCAAATAAAACATATTTATAAACATGAGGGAATAGAAGCGTCCACAGAAATCTGAAACAGAATCCATTTACTTCTATAATCAGATTTTTCCAACAGGTTATTCATACTGTGAATGACGATAGTTACGAGTGCATTTGGACCAATGGATAAAGAGAGAAAAACTATTGTCATGTTAACAAAAACAAACCTTAGATTTAAAACTCCAATGTTTGTTATCTCTAACTGTTCGATATTAGACAAAGTACAATAACATTTTTAATAATCAAATCAAGTAGTTATCGTCCAAGGTTGATGCATGCAAACTGGTCTACGCTAAGGGCTACAAATGATGTTGGCTACCTGTCAGTGGAGTAAAAACATTTTGAGTTATACAGGAATGGGTGTTAACACTTAGTAGTTGATAAATAATATACTCAGTAGATGAAAAGTAATTCAGATAGATTAAAATAATAATTTAAGAAAATTATTAATAAATCTAATTACAGATTGTCGAGCAAAATCCAGTTTCTTTTCAGCTTTCATTCTTTTTTCACAATAACGTTTAAGTTCCAATTCATAAGTAACTTGTAGCCAATGTCTAAGTTCATAATAGGGTTCACCTAGATGGTATTTATTACAAGGATTTGATGATAAAGTAACTGGTGAACAAAAATCATTTCCAGAACTTCGTCCCTTCAAATTTAGAATTTTGCGACATTGTAAAGTACGTATTTGATCAAAAGTCAATGGATCGTTTGCTGAGTATATATTATTATGATTCAAGGAATTCGGATGTAAAGAATCATTATATAAGTCAGTTGACAAACTGAATTCAGCAATTGACGACGGTATGTATGATGAATGATCGTATGATTGTTTATGAGTATTAAGACTATCTTCATTCAACGCTTCCATACTTTTTAGATGAGGCGATGACAAATTATCTCGTTTCATACTCTACAAAATAGTTGAGTGTAAACGAGAAAAAACAAAACAATAAGAAACTATACAAGTGCAGATATTGTATGAAATAGTTACTGATATGTCGCAAGATTTAATAAACTAAAAACCACTTCTACCCTTAAATATCTATGCGCAAAATGAGACATGGAAAAGAAACAAGAATTCCACGAAAAAGCTTGAAAATACTTTCACTCTAACTGATATTTCGCTATTTTAAAAAGTCCTTATCAAAGCTCTAGATTATTCATTCACGGAGGATACTGACAAACGGTAACAAATATTTTGTAAATGAGAAATTAAAAAAATGACTGAGATTGCATTTCTGTCAGTCAGCTACAACGTAGATTCCATCTTCCTTTAATAAATTAACGAAGTAACAACGAATTTTGGATGGAATATGTGAACGCCCATTTACTTAAATTATACTCTTAATGGTTTTAAATTTCTACCCACTTAATATATAACCGCATTAATAGTGACGATAAAAAATGATGCGCTAAGAATTTTAAAAATGTCAACAAATTATATTTCATTAAAACACGAATAGGGATTAGATGTTTATTTTTACTGATTTGTATAAATTAACTTGATTAAGAAATCCTGTACATTTTGGCTAGACAAATCAATTAGCTATGGATAAGAATATAGATTAAAAATGAACATTTTAAAAGTAAAACACAACAGGAAGCTATCATGACAGAAAACAAGTAAGAGGATTATTACATAATAGAAAGATATGCTTTAATCTAACGCTAAAATTATTGGTAAAAGATGTTCAAAGATTGGTTAAGTGACCCAAGATAGATTTATTTACTAACTGTAAGATATGTCTACCCAAACCTTGACATGTAGAACAATGTTTGGACTCCCACTGCATTGTAATAAATCGGAGGTACAATAAGCTTTCAGTTGCTGGAGATAAGACTATAAAATTATTGGTGATAGTCCAAATGTGTCGTTGGATTTCTGCATTATTGCACTACATGTTTGAATAGCGTCACAATATCATACATAGAACTTAATTCGAAAATCGCTTATAACATAAATTTAAAAGCTTCTTTTAGTTTAATAGACACAGGAATTTTAATCTCACCTTAGGAGCTGATGATGAGGATGACGCAAAATGTTGATTTATTTCATAAGCATTCAACGTTTGCCTTAATTGCTCCACATCATCTAACCTATTTAATTTTGTGAAAACAAATACACAATAATTACATATCGGAAGGAAGTTTTTGAATCATCACATATTACTAGAATTTTTGAAAAAAGTTGTATTCTAGTAATAAATTTTTTTGTTATATTCCAATGAATAGAAAAATTGTATGTCTGACGCTTCGTGACTCAATGTAAGGCACTTCTACGGAGTAAACAAAAAACTGGATTAAATTAACACAAGTTTAAATGGTACTATGTCAAAATTGACAAACCTAGAAACAATGGTAAATAGTACGAAATGTTTCGTACAACCATGCTCAAAAATGTAACTCCAAAATTAAGATTACAATAATTTGAACGCTACAGATACCATTCAGTAGATCAAGAGTTTGAAACCCACAGTGTCTAAAGAACCACCAGCTAGCACATTACTATTATCCGACCGTTGCCGCCACCTTAACGTGGTAGTCGAGATTGCCTATCGTGATGAATCAGTCGGGCTATACTGGCTGGAGTAATCGTTCCTCAAGTACCTACGATACCAGGCAGATCGGTAATACTAAAAGCAGCAAACCACAGTACAAGAGCGAAGCCGTATTCCTGACTTAACAGAAATGTAACAGTAGTAGGGTGTTCCTCTCAGACAATCTTGCATTAAATCATTGAATCAAATTAATGAAGTGAAAGTCATATACTTGATTTTTTTCATCATCACCTCTATGTTTAGTAAACATACTTTCTTCAATAATAAAGAAAAAATATCGACAAAGAGTCACTCCATATTATTATTATTATTATTCATATGAGTAACCGACCTTTTTTGAAGTTGTTTCAGTGTTTGTTCAGCAACATTTAATTTTTCTTGATTTTCACCAACGGAATTTTTCTCCGAAAAACTTGATGCATGATAGAACCAATGAGAAAAACCCACAAACGAAACGCATAACAATCCTATTGACAATGTGACTAGAGAAACATTTCCTGACACAAGTACTGGCTCTGTAAGTGAAGTAATTACGCATTGAATTAGAAAACCAACTAAATCAAATAAACAACTGTGAAGAAAAAAATGATTGTGAGGGAAGATCTAACACTGAATGCAAAAAAGCCAAGCATTCTACCTTAATTTATGAAAGATACTTGCACGACCTCGACTTTGAATAGATGGTATTTACGTTGTTTACGTGGACCATAGCTGCTGTATTGACGTGGTGATTGGGATCACCTAATAGTGATGACTCGACCCAACTACATTGGCTGGGACACATGTCCCTTTAGGCCCTACCATGCCAGGCAGGTCGATTGGAGAACGGTAAGACTAAAAGTAGCAACTCAAGGTCTGAGAGCGAAATCGTACTGCTGACTGTAGAGGGATGTGACAACAGTAAGGAGTTCCATTCAGACAACTAGCACCTGCAGACATGACTTCTCACAACGGAAAGAATGGGTTAGAAAAGGTCGACTCTAAAAATATCACACCTCACTTTGCCCCATGGATTTCCGTCTCCGGCAGTAAGGTCTTTAGAAGTACGCAGCTAATATATAGAAAACTCCCCGAATAGAAGTCATGCACAACTGACCTCAAGGAGTTGTCCCTTGGGTTCTGCGGTAAAGCTATTAAATCGCCAAGACCACCACTAATTCAGCTTCTGTATCAGGTCCATCAACAAAAAATATCCTTCAGATGTGTGTGCAAACAGGAAGTTACAACCACCCTTATACCTCTTTCAGAACCCGAGATTATCCTGTTGACGATCGGATCCCTTCCATACCGCTTAACAATTCTTCCATCTACATGACTAACCCTTCACATTCGCCTTTGTACACACGCGCCAACAATGATTTTAATTCACCAAATTTTATTCCTGATCTGAAATTACTCTCTAAACTACATGTTAGAGCTTTTGAAGTTCAAACATAGATAGAACGAAAGGTTATTTTAGCTAGGATTATGGAATCTCGTGCCATCGATGTATGTTGAGTCTCCGAAACGCGCATACATCAACTTCAAACATGAAGAGAAATGTCTGACATAGCGACCTACACAGTCCACTAATCGACAAAAATAAACAGACCATATCCCCAGCAGCCATCGTTTGATAAGAGCGACAGAAGACTGCCATTCATTATGGAGCACATTTTTGGATTCGGATAATGCTTTAGTTCGAGCACGCATCTGTCTGCGTCTTACTGGAGATAAAAGTGACAGCAGGAAAACTACCAAGAGTTCTACTTAGTCCTGGAAAATTCAAGAATATATTTTAGGGACAACCAGAGAAGCTGCTAGTCAAACGTGAAAGTGATATCCACCCCGAGATAGCTTGATATGATAAACGAAATGCTGTGGAAACGGCAGTGATGTCTACCAAAAACTTAAACAAAAAAGTTAGGGACGACCAGCAGATTTCAGCGACGTCTACAGAACTGATAGATGCTCGGGATCTCATTCTACCTAGCTCCAAACATAATGAAGGGCTGAGACAGCCCAGACGTAGGCTGATTAAAAGCCTACACAGTGATCGTGAACAATGGTAGGTAGTAAAAGCAAAAGAGATGGAAAATCTGCGGCGATAGGTAGCAACAGACAACTATTCAGTTATCGGGGAGATCGGTATTAAAAATCTGGCTATTAGTGAAACTACTTCGGGAAAAGACAGAACTATTACTCACTCTCGATCCAGAAGATTGGACCAATCGGGAGAACACCTTAGGGGACAGTTCAACTAGCTTTCAGACGCACTATCTCCAAGTAACCTGAATGGAAAACTGATGTAAGTCATCCAACTCAGTGAGGTTCAAAAGACCAAGTAATCTAAAGAGAAGGAGATCAGTTGGGTCTGATGTACTAAACACTGAGACTTTTACGGATGGTAGTCCAGTTTTAGCAGTTGGATTAACTGAGATCTTAGTTAGAATCCGTGGACTGTGCGTAATCTCATCAGATTGGTTTAGATGTCTGATCATTCCGGTTTACAAGGAAGAACACAAACCGTCTAGTAACAATCACACAGAAATCAGTTTAATTAATATAAAGTCTGAAATAGCCTAAATAGTTCTTTGGTGTCTATTGAGAAGCCGTGGCCAGTAGATCTAAATCGTGTTGGATGTGCTGAAGGTGCCCTCCGAAGGTAATGAAATTTGGTCGCGCAATGATGTGGATTGACTGGAGTTAGACTTGAACACCACTGAAACTTGACTCACTGCTTTGGAGGTCAAACATTGGTGAGCCAGGGTGAAAGTCTTAGATCTGATTCCCAGTTTAAAGGTAGTGGTTGTGCACTGCTGAGGACCTCCATACTAGGACGAAACGGTCCTCCTGTGCTTCCAGGTTTACGATGGTTGTACAGCTTAGATTGATTCGCGATCACAACGATTCGTTTCAGTTTTCATATAAAAAAACATTGCTAGCAGTAAATGCACAAAGGACGATAAATCGGAGTTTTCCACCATTACGTAATCACTTTCTATATGCGATATACGATAGAATGCAATTTTTAAAAAATGGAGATTCATTGATCCATATGTGAAAAAATAATAGAAAATTCAAGTGTATTTCAATTACTATTTGTAGCGAAAAACTTATGATGCTTCATATATCCTGTTTGTTATGAACACTTACAGCACAGACATAATCAATCACTAACATCACATATAATTATTATGCTACACAAATGTGAACGCACCAAGAACGATGATCAAATTAAGTCTCTTTAACCAGCTACTCACAAACGAATTAGCGGAAAATATTGATTGATTTGGAAGGAAATACAATGTTACATAATTAATATTGGTAACTGTGATTAGGTAGTGTGAAGAATATTTACCAATTAAGTTATTGCATTTATAAAACATAAAAAGAGAACGAAATATAAATTATGTAGAATAAAGAGATTGTCAATATATAGGTCAAAAGGTTAAAAGAGAATGACAACATATAAGTACATATTAATGTCAGGAATCGAAATTCCCAAGTGACAAACTGACAAATTTCTTTCGCAATCCAATTACATGATTGAAGTCAATAAATAAAAGGTGATTTAAGATAGCCTAATAAATTTGAATCCATTTCTTTACTAATTACTCTAGACAAACTGTGTTTCCATGTGGAAAAAACTTTCTGAACCCTGGTTACTTCATACAGCAGTTCGTTTGAGGTAACAGAAGTTTAGCGGTTGCGAAGATTGCTTTTAACTCTACTGATTACCTGGATAATTCTCACAACTTTATTATATCTAAAACTGAGATGGAATAAGATGCATTATTCCAGCTTTATCTTGAGCATTATTGGTATAATTTTATGTATATTTGTAACTTTTCATCCATAGTTCGTTGAATTCTGAGATCAAGAAAATGGGAATCTCACTGTGTTCATATTTTACCATAAATTTGTACAAAATAACTTGGATACAGTTCTATAAATACCAGCTAACGAAAAACCCCGAAAACCAATGGATAAATCTTACAGTTAAAAAGTGGAAAGAATCAGGTTTTTGAAATTGAGATGTTATAGTTTAAGACCAATCGAATGAACTCAATAGTATCAATGAAAAGTATTGTAAGTTGACGTACTTTTTACCTATACAAAAATTAAGAGAAATCTCTGAGAACATTGAAGATTGTTTATTCGGTTAATTAGTGTAGGTTTGTGATCTTGAAAACTAAACGTTCTCTCCTTTTATTATATTTAATAGTTTCAATGAAGACATAAATGATCACAATAGGTCGTGATTAAATACAAGTAATCCCTTGAAATTTACTGGTGGTAAATGCCTCACTCTAACAAACTAGTAAAGTATACTTGGTTGGATTAAACATGTTCAAACCAACAGCTGGTTAGTGTTTATGGATGCAGATCTATGTCCATTTTCTCAGATGATCGATAAACAATGAAAAACAAAGTAATTAACAAATTTACCTACCATAATTTTTGTAAATCTAGCTATGGATATGAGTAAACTTGGATATTCGAAAAGTTTCAGACAGTCAGTCATAATAGACGTCTGGTCTGACACAAGTGTACATTATTCCAATTTACCACACCCTATTAATATGGAGCAGTGAAAGTGTTAAGATCAACAACAAAGAAGTAGAAATGATAGTAACAAACGACAGCAAAGAAGATAAAGCGTAGAGAATGTGGTTTGAGAAAAAGAATGAATTTTGGAAACAAAAAGTATGAAATAATAGTGAAATGCAAAATCTATAAGAAAGTAAATCAGTCCTCTTGACCCACTTAGACCGATTCTGAGGCACGTCATTCAACACCTCAAACCACTGATCACAGTTTTTTCACAAACCCCGACCAAGTAGTTTGTACTTAATATCAAGGCCCAAACTAACAGTCAATTAATTATTGAGTTGATTTCATATCTTTGTTTAACCGCTCCTAGGTTTTTTTCTAGTCTGATCCTACATCAACCACAATTTTCCGCTGAAATGGTAGTTAGTTCTCAATGGATGAGTACTCATTTTAAATATAAACTAAAATATAATATTCTACTGAAATCTAAACATCAACAATAAAGACAACAGAACTATGTAGTTCATACAGTTGAAACCATATTGATCCACTACGAAAAATAAGAAAACTTTAGTGTATTGATACAGATATGCGTTAATAATCATGAATAAAAAACAGTAGATTATCCACCAGGTACTTGGGTACGAGTGATACTCTGAATTTGAGGACTAATAATACTACTCGATGGCTCAAACTGAATTAAGTGAAAACCTGTAAGTTAATGGCTGAAAGTTAAATGTCTTAACCAATAAACCACCGTTGCATAATAAGCAGAACCAGTTGATGTTGCGTGAAAAAGCGACCAATGTTGACATTCACATTATCTTAATGCTTCATTCCTACAGATTTCAGAAACGCAAAATCAATCGACTTTGATTGAGAATAACCCCGAGAAATGGTGTGCAATCCTTGGGGATATATATATATATAATGTAAATACTTTGTAACTTCTTTCGACAGACATACATCCCTCCTGCTTATTATCGTTTTTTGCAATAGCATCCGGATGATTAATGATACACTTCGAAGGGTTTCGATTACTGTAACTTCATATTTTATAGTCCGGTTCTCGAGATGTGACCATCCCACATAGGATTTACTGTACTAATATATCTACTCTTCTATGCAACTCTATAACTCAACAGGCTACTGTAATGTATTGTGACTCAAAATACTATATATATGACCTCACGTTTACAAACATTTTGAAGTGGAAATAACTAATAGGCCATAAATAAATTGAAGGAGTGATTTAGCTATGTCTTATCGATATGATGCTGATTGACTAATAACCAGTTAAATATACATCGTCGAAGTAATGAACTACTACGAGTGTACTAATATGTAATCTGTTACATTCTTCAATAATCCAGACAACGCTAAGTAATTAGTACTCATTTGAACAAGCATTGGAGTTGACGTGCGGGTGGTGTTTTAGTAGTTGAAGAGTTCGACTTATGCCACTAAGTCCCTGGTTCAAACTCCGCTAAACCTACTTCGGTTTGATCCATCGGGCAGTATCATTAGCCCTTACACTTAGAGAGTGGGTTACACCCAAGAATCTGGTGAATGATTTATTTGTTTATATCGTAATGATGGGCTCAACTTCAAATGAGTTAGATCTTTTCAGTACCTTACAAAAGTATCATAAATGATATCCCGCTATCCATATTAAACGTCAGATGAGAAATCATAAAACCAATCTAAGTTAACGATAAAATTTACTAACGTCTTGGAGGTCCAAACAGAATGATATCCAAAGCACGAAGCATCAATTTCTTCTTGTGTATCGGATTCTGAATCCCCAGGACGTCGGTTAAGTAGCTCATATTTTGCATAGCCAAGCTGTAAAAATGATAAAGAAAAATATTTCGATCCATGTCATATTAGCTTGAAAACTAATAAAGTCCGATTCGATTCTACATAAACTATCACACATAATTATTGTAAGGGAAAAATGGAAAATATTTGCTTCATATGAAGTAAGCAGTTGTCACTTGTTTTCAGTAAAATTAAATTCTGGTTGGTTGTGAACAAAAGTTCACAGAATAAATATTTTTAAATTAGACCCATTGTCAAACAACTTACAGCAGAACTGTAATTTTCCTTTAAAAGTCAGAAAAATTAAAGCTCAACTAGAATAAAAACTACTTGAGATAATAAAAACATATACGTTGATACAATATTTGAGACAGTCAACAATTAGTAGATGACAATAAAATTAAGATTGTTTTACGACCTCTTCGAAATGTAGTATTTTGGTCATCAAAAAAGTCTAAAAGTGTCACTGTACACTAAAATTACAATGACTGATCATGTATGTACATGTTTAATGGAAATAACACATTTTCTAAATATATTCTAAACCGAATGGTAAATATATCAGACTTTGAGTTACTTGGATGTCAAGAAATATATTTCGCTAAAGTAAACAACATGAGAAGTATTCGAGTATTGGATTATCAGTGTTTACATACACAATATTTGCGTTGAAGGCGCTAATACATCCTACAAACTTGAGCACAAATCACTTAGTTTGTACAAAATGGTAATCCGAAATGAATAAAAATGGAGGTTGCTTTATTTAAATAACATAAACTTGACAAACAATTCATGTCACTAGATGAGGCTAACTTGAAGTGATTATTTCTCCTGCAATTAATAACTCGACGAATATTTCTACACAACAATGATTAGGAGAAATGTTGGGCGAAATTCATAAAGATTATGAAGATTAGTGTATATTATTTTAAAGAAATTTGTTTAAATTATTGGTAAAGTATGACATTTTAACTCCACTGGCAAAACGTGCTTCAAAAGCAAGACTGATTTAATCTACTACAACAATTACGTGAATAATAAAATGGAGAAAACAGTTCTCATTTGCACTCATAATAAAAATAATACAGATTTTTTAAATGTAAATACAATAATGACGCAGAATAAGATGGATTTTAAGAGGGCACTGTGCATACGACTGTAAAGACATACTAATCACATGATTCCTGCATATAAATAATGAAATATAAGTCCTGATGAAATTTTATCCAAACCATACTTTGTAAAAAAATTATTATTGGAAATTTACCGTGGTAATGAACGACCATCTAAATTATGTTGACGAAACAAATCAGCGTACTGAGGGAGATCTACCAAACTAACTAACCATTGGGTAGTATCTCTCACAGTCCAGTTGAATGCTAGAGATAAAAATAGAAATAAAGAATACCAGATATATATTAAAAATGACTGCAATAAGCGTTATATTTACAAAAGAAAAAAAGGGGAATACGGATGTCTAGCCGTTATGTTGACCATTTTTCTCTACAGAACAATAGAGAACCTCCAGATATTCGTAATTATGCAATAAGAACGTTTTATTTTAGTGGACATAAAGTGGAATGAATCCCAAAGTCAACTCACTATCTCCAATAATTAAGCTGTATGATAAAAACTGTCAACTGAAGTCGTTTCACACTTAACTTTTACATCTTTGTTAGACACTTAATGGAATATATCTACTAGACCTCTTAAATGATTAAAATTATTGTAAAGAATGTAGCTAATAACACAACTGAGAAAATTAGATTTCTTTGGTAACTTTATTGTATTCCACTTGTTATATAATGTTTGTAAAAACCCCAATATCTTAGATTCATTATTCCTAACAATGAAACCCGAAATAACTTTTCTATCAGAAACCACTGTCATCAGAAGGATTTACAGACAGATATCCAGTAACTTAACCTAATATTAAAACACAAAAATACTCGCGAAGTAGTGATTGATTTTTTCACCCATTCAGAGTATGATTTTAATGACAGAAAAACATTAAACAAAAAGTAACATAAATCATGACTTCAAAGTAGAGGAATGAAGGTGATAATAAAAGTACGATTATTTAGTGAAAATTTAATACATCGTAAACAGTTAGAAAGACCATGCACAACTCAACAAATAAGGCAACTATTAGAGAAGTAGGACCACTTCAACAATTCTACCATTTAAAAAAGTAAGAGTTAAATTACCAGGATTATTTCTCCACATCTGCCACAAGTCTGTAAGACTAATAAGAGGATCATCGCTGTTTAACATACGTGATTTCTTGGCAGCATCACCCGAATTGAATTCTTTCCTCAAAAACTAAAATTAACAGTAGTTTTAATTTAAAGAGGTGCATACAGTTTCAAACAATAAAAAACATGTTAAAAAACTGTAGCTAAATTGAAAAGCAAACATCTAAAAGGACTACAAAGTATGTAGTCTATAGCAAAAGAGCATAAACGAAGGATTACCCTTAGTCGTTAACATTACACCTAATAATAACATACAGGAGTACTGTGATGTGCACTAACAAGTACAATCCTTTTAGGAGGTTAATGCAAAAGCTTGAAAACCCAAAGTTTCCAACAATATAGAAAAAAATCGAAGACATAAAATGTTAGGAAGAACAAGAAACAAGTGAATATAAAACATACATTTCACAATATTCTTAAACATTTACATCAACCTATTCGAAATAAACTAACGGTACTATGTCTCTGATTAACGATTTATAACAATTTTGCTAGCTTCACAAAAGAAGCCTGCTACTATCTAAATTGTCCTGATCAAAATTTAAACTTATTTTAATTTTTGTTTTTATTACAGCCATACAAAAAATGAGCTACAAAAATGTAGTTCACCAAATGTATGCTCATATGCTTAAGTTTAAGTCTGACTTGTATAAAGGCTAGAGGTGCTGCCTGATTTTTCAAGTTGAAGTGGATGGATGTTAAAACCTGTAATAGCTTAATAGTTGGAAAGTGAATGCTTTAGCCACTACGCCACCCCCAGACAGTCGATTACTTCAGTTTAGTTGAATAAAACGGTAGAACCAAGAAATCTTGAGAAATTGACGAGTTAAAAATAATGTACTAAACAGATAAAACCTTGAAATGGACCTACATCAACTTTATTACGTACCTATTCATTCCAAGCCAGTATAAATGAGGTAACTTATAACCAGTAACTTATAACCAGTTAACATAATAGGAGTTATGAACAATTACTAGTTGTCATTTGGGATAGTTGCAAATACCAAACCACCTCTTAAAAGAACCCACCAAGATAGCACGAAAGGAAACAGATCATAGGTAATTAAATAAAAAGGCAAAGATCCATAAAAGTTTCTGAGTCTAGGGTTGCATAGTGAAACTAAATGTCGGTCTCCTTTCAATATTTTTCAGAAACTGAAAAGTGTGGTTTCAACAACTTAACTGGTATGTTTGTGGGGACCAGTCAGTTATAAGCAACCTAGTAACTGCCACAAACGCCCGTCAACCTCGGTTGCCACACCACATCAAGGCAGCATACAATTACCAAGAAGCATACCAAAGTAGCAATAATAGCACTAATGGTGGGAAATATTTGACATAATAATCCAAGAACGAATTCGTGGAATACAAATATGAAGTGGGCTCTAAACTCGGCATAGAGGTACAGACAAAGAGTGGGTGCATCTGCGCCACTGACTAATTAGAAACAACGTCACCTAACGTCTTGAACCATCATTCACAGATATCGCAAACTACGACCTGGTAGTCTGCATTTACTGAAATGGCTCATATCAACAGTTTATGACTTCATGAACCGATCCTATATCTAAACTTCAACCCTATTCCTATACCGGCCGACATCGTACGAAGAGGTAGGCTTTTTAAACTAACTCACCAGCTACTTGAATGTAAACCAAATTCTAAGTGGACGACAATAATACGACTCGTTTGCCTAAACTAAGCTAGGTGAAGAAGAGTTTGGACCTGGAATATAGTTGTAGAAAGTCAGACGCTTTAACTACCAAGTCATTTCCCACTAAATACGGCCATCCAGTTCGATCTAAGTTTTAACATTATACTAAACAAAAGTTGTGCCTCAAAGACACGTCTATAACCTTGTACTTAGTGAATGAGTAGGACCAGTTTAAAAGAGGATATTATTGAAGAACTAGCCTCAGAGACAGATAAGTAGTTTCCTTTTTCTTGTAAACTGTCATTCATAGGCATTCAGAAATTGATTGACAGCCATGTACTTTCAAATACATGCCCATTCCAGATGCGAAATACACGTTTTTATATTATGAATAAACCAAGTAGTTTGCAGTTGTATATTTGAGTTAGGTGCAATGCTCCGATATGAAGATTGAAGTACTTAATGTAAATGCAACCACTTTATGGAAATAATCAAATAATCAAAGTACCACGGTCCAGAGTACTTTACATAAAGGCAATAAAAAGTTGATTTTTTCCAAGTAAGAAACACAAGTTTAGATACCGAAAACCGCAAAATACTACAAGCTTTTCAAACACACAACTCGATTTAAATACATGTGAAGCCACTTACAAAAGTTTTAACTTCATTTTTTATAACTCTCCTAACAGCAACAAACAAACTGCGACTTGACAAGTAAGCACAAAAATGTTTATTTTTGCTGACCCTTACGATTAATTAGTCATAAATATAATTTTACATGAGTGGAGATTGGGTGCTTTTCACTTCCTACGAGGCTTTTGTTGTCATATAACACAAAGTAAACACATTCTGAATTGCCCTACCTTTTCAGTTTCGGAATGGTCGATTTCTCCATTTTTATCACCATCAAGATTTCGATGTAAGTCCTCAATCGCTTCATAAGATAATATCTTTGTGAAACAAGACAAGATTTCGTCAGTCGCACCGCATATATCACTACACACAGCCAAAGAAAACACTGTTAAAATAATTATAGACTGAGGCTTACAACTGCAAGTGCAAAATAAGATACCGAAAATATAACAAATCATGACTTAAGTAGCAACACCTTGCTAGTGTTTATGTGTTTCTACAGATGTTGAAAGGTGAGCAATCACAGTTGCAGCAACTAATCCAGGTAGAAAGACAATTTCATAAGTGCGATTAAGGACGTTCACTACGAAGTTGCATACATCCAATTAAAACGGACTGTAACGGCGACATTTAAAATACGAACGGATGGTATATATTCATTAGATTGATAGAACAAAGATATGTAATGAATGGTCATTCACTGAATTTATATTTAGCTGCCAACATTTTTCATTTCTACTCGACAATTTAAACTGCAATTCTACTATATGTTTGTAGCTAATTTTATTTAATCGATTATCTTCGTGTTAATATCCGTCACCCGCACCATTTAAAAAGGATAGGGGTATTTTACGGGTGGATTTACCCACAACGTTTCCCTGTAAGCCTAATGTAACATCCAGTGTAATAACGGTCATTTCTGCGTTCATGTTATCATAGAACATGTCATTTTACAATGTATTTTTTATTAAATAACTAGATTATGCTGTGAATTTTGCTCTGGTTGTAATTTTTATTCGCCACGTCCGACCGCGTTACACTATACGTTCATTGCACGCCGAGATGATATCCTAAGTCATAATGAGTTTAATCACATATTTGATTGTTTCCAGATAGACGTTAGTGCATGATGTTACTGAAGAAAATTTGTTGTGCTGTGAACTATATTTTTATGAACAACTGACTGTTGCCTTCAGTCTCAAAGCAATATATATATATCCTTTATCATCTGTTAGGTAAGTTCGACTAGCCTATATTTCGTGTTTCGGTTTTATCGGTTGAATTATGTCCATTTAACTACTTTAAGCAACATTTCTGTGAAAATAAAACAATAATTATGACACTTGCTTAGTTTAGTATTCCTCGTTATCGTATAATTCAGTTTAATCGAAAGAAACTTGTAACGAAACAGGTCAGTTTAGTGAGTGGACCTGCCTGCTTTTAATTAGTATACTGACTCAAATCGGTCTGATTGAAAATAGTAAAAAAGAGCTTTTAATGTTGTTGCTGTCATACATTATAAAATAACGATGAGTATGATCTGTGTTTATTCGTAGACTGTACATCTTGCACTGACCATATTTCAAGATCACTGTCATCAAACAAATTACCCAATAATAACATCTGTATCCACAGCTACTGGACACTCAGTATTAATTTGACTGGTTGATGGAGTAGCGTGATCAATAATACTTCAGAAAATAACAAATCGGAGGCTGTTTTCTTTCATTCCGCCCGATAGCATAATAAATAACACGTAGGAAAGAATATGCGAACAGTTAGAGTCCCATGCGGCAGCAATACTTACTTTAACTAAAAAAACTAACTTCGGCTCTCGATATATGAAAAAAATACTCTAAACAAAACGGATTAACATTGATTAGCATAAGACTAGCTAGCTTGCCTGAAGAAATACATTGACTTGAGAAGCAACAGCAAAAACCCAGAAAACAATGCTTAATTGAAATAAATTTTACGCCAATATTTTGAACATTACACTAACTAGGGTGTAGATCATCAACGTAGATGGTCTATGTCGAATGATCAGAAGCCTACTCGAGTTAGACGGGAATGGTGTGACGAACCAGCCAGCGTCAAAGTCACACCTCCTAATCAGCACTATACATGGACTACCCCATTGACGTATCGAGGTACCATAGATGCTTTGAAGACTGTACAACACAGAGGACGTTATTACAGAAGTATATTAGTTAAAGTAGATACAAGCGAAAGTAAGACCACTGCCGCATGAGCCAGTCCATGGCATACGATTAACTGATGCGCGTTGGTTAACCTTGACATTAACGAGAATCGATGATTTGTTCTATATTCAATGACCTAATTGCCGGATGATTTTACTAGTGCTCAGTGGAATTTCACTGACCTTACAGGGGCATTTTAGCACATTGAAACATTACACAAAAAATAGCTGAAAAGACAAAGAACGTAGAATGCCTACCGTCATCGCCCACAAAGATTGCGGATATAATAATTCCCGCTTCATTTTGATCGGTTGCTAAGCAGATTGCCACATTTATGAAATCGAGTTGCGTTTAATAGCAGCTTATTTTACATTGCCGAATAAATTTCTTTGTTTTGGTCGATTATTATGCACCGATACCACTTTTTTTTACATTAAATGAATGTATTTCAGGTAAAGTATTGTTTTTGTTACCAAAGTAGTTAGTTGCCGGCACTTATGAGCACATTGTTTCTGTCGTATTTGTTAGCACTTTTGATTTTAACGATTTTCAGCTTTCCACATTTCTAGTCATCAATTTCTCTTGTCTCTGAGTATTATCGCACCTACTTTCATTTTTGAAAACCTGTTTGACAGCTGGACAATGCAAGGCAAGCGATTGCCAACGCCCAGGTTGTCAACATTCCGTTGAAATCGACATGCAGCGTGACGAGTGTAAAGGATGGTACCACGGTTTTTTCTTGAATCTTACGTCTACGGCTTTTAAAAGGCTAGGTAAAAATGGTTGCGTGTGGTTTTTTCAGCAATATAGCTCGGACGCAATTAGCTCACTAACAGAGGCTATTTCCATGGTAAATGCTGCTAAAAACGAGATCGAGACACACCAAACAGTACAAGCTCTGTTGATAAACCAATTAATGTGAAGTCGCCTCAAATAAAGTTAGTATTGGTCCAATTACATGAATTCAAAGAGAAAAGACTGAGTTCAAAGAAGTTCGTCCTAAATAAAAGCTCAATGAAGGAGGTTTTTCTGTCCGGCTTCCTCCAAATGGCAATCATCAGGAAGCGCCTAAATACCTAATTGCAAGGCTAGATTTGTTTCTAGCAGGAATAGTGAACTGACTGCCCAACCCGTCTATAGGGGTCCGGAATGTCACAATGAGTTTGGTTGGATTGCCGATGCTACCCCAACGAAATTCGATAAATGGGTACAGGTCAAAAACTAGAAACGACATAATGCTATTAAAAAAGCGAACCTCCCAAATCGTAGCTGTGAAATTAAAGATTATTCATAGTGACAGGTCAGTTATCTTTCATAGAATCAAGAAGTGAAAGCCCAGAACCTAAATCTCGTTTCGACCATGACGTTGAGTTACTAAACCAGCTAATGCTCCAAATGTCCTGATACGGTAGAGGGTGTGGATAGCTCGTTTTCCCTGCTCTAGTGCTCTCACATCCCACGCGTATACAGTGACAGACAGGGAAGTTCCATTCACAGCCCTCTCGTAGCAGGGGTGTTGTTTATGAAATTGAGAGAACGAAAAGCAATTTTCCGGCACATTAACCAGGTTGGTGGGCATGAAGGCTCCAAATGAGGGGGTTTGAAAGCTCTGATTCCAAGCCAATAGTGTACATGAGCTCCAGGATTCTGGGAGATCAAAAGGCGTTTGAACCTACTGTTGGTCTCCGGATACCGTAGAACTTCGTCTCCTGAAGTTGTCTCATAGCCCCGTGGGTCAGATCTTTAGGTCTAAGGCTCCGGGTGTGAACTCTTGGGAAAACCACTTCCTCTGGTTCGCGCGCCCGGATAGTATCATGGCCTGCACACAAATTGATTGACTTGTGTATTTGGTGCACCTTTGTGCCAATATTCATATGTTCAGATAAGTAACAGATTAGAATATCCTCGCAGTCACCGTGCCTAAGGTGTATACACTAGATAGCCAAATGAATTTGAAACATAATCAGATTACAGTTGTATTTAAATCTCTCAATGAACGGGACTCAAAACTACTGAGCTGACACAAACTAAGTTTTAATTTTCGGGTTGTGAGGCGCCGACAGAAAATGATGCCGAAGACACTATGGATGCAGCACGGAGTTATCATGCAGTTTTGAACTTTAACTTCCATAAAGTTGTCAATATCTAGCGCGCATCAGTAAAAACCAGAAACAACGTCTGTAAATCAAATATAAAAGATATTATACACACAGCATCGTCGGTAGATTGGACAATAGAGACAGAATCCCCAATTTAGACAGCTTGAGATGTATTTCGAATGTTACACTTAAAAGTTACTGTACCCCATATCCCTTGGACTTAACCGAGTACTCGTGGGTACTCTTCACCATGGTACCGTAGGGAGGTTTCCACCCTACTCCGTAGGAGAGGGAACATGTAGGAAACATTAAGGTTACTGGGCACTTATGAGACGAAATCTCAAAGTCAATAAGATAGAAATATTTGTGTCTCGACCCTCCGCATGTCTAGATGGTTTTGCGAAGAAAAAATTAAGAAATCTGTGGAATGCCTTAAACACCCGTATTATTATGTAAACCAAAGGACTAAGAGAAGAGGAAATATCCCAGCACCATGGGGAGACAATAATACCTCATCATAAGTGGAGGGCGATTATGTTAAAGCTAAAGTGTTCTAAAACTACTATAGCGATGTATATACCGTAGAAACACTCCTCCATTAAGTTCATAGAAATCCCCTCACACATACTGGACAACGTGACTATTGAAGAACTCAGTGTCTTTGATTCGCTAAATGTGGGAAATCCACGGGTCCTAATGAACTACATCCTAGGTTACTATAGGAACTAGCTAACTTTGTTGCGAATCCCTTAAGCATATGTTTTAACTTATCCGTAACCCAGGGTAGATTACAAAAACACTGGAAGGACACCATGGTAAATCCTGTCTTCAAGACGGGAACGAAACGAAAGCCTGGGAAATACCAACCCATTATCCTGAACAGCGTGGTTGTTAAAATTTTAGAAAAGATTATTCGTAAGGCGCTGTTTGAGTGTCTCGATGAAAACCGGATTATTTCGGAAAAGCGGAATGGCTTTAGAATGGGATGTTCCTGACTTACTAACTTATTAACGTCTCGTGAATTATGGTGCACTCACAAAGACCAAATGTTACATCGGTTTCAGCAAAGCTTTTTACACAGTTTCTCACATGGCTGTTATATAGTTTTAAAACTGTCGGCGTTGGAGGTAACTTAATAATGTGGACAAAAGACTCCCCAATTTGGCGCCAACAAAAAGTACGAGTAAATTCCATGTTGTCTAACTGGGAAACTGTGAGTTAATGGAGTGCCTCTGAGTATTTTTTGAAGCCATTGTTTTTCACATTGTGTGTAAATGACCTTCTTCGTCCCCTATTATCATCGGTGTTGCTATATCTGACGATGTCAAGATATAAAAAGCGATA